CTCCATTTCATCAAATCTATGTCATCAGCTCTGTTTAATCAAGTCTATTTCATCAACTCAATACCACAAACTCTATTTCTGGTTAGTTATACTTATTGACGTCATCAGAGTTTATTTCGCCTTCCAAGTGCTTTCATGAAGGTCATCATGTTTTTGCTTATCCTTTTGTTGTATTTTGCTGCTTATGGTTGAAATGGGTAGAAATACTATGACGTTGTATGCTTGTAATTAGTTTTTGTAGTGTTGTGTTTGTTTTAAATGTGGTAAATTATAGATAGTTTTTTTTGTTGACTTTGTACCGGGCTTCGAGCCTTTGGGGATGAAGCGTGTTTTTGAAATGAACTTTATTATTATTATTATTATTAACTCATCGACATTGTCCACCTACACATAGCAAAGCATTTTTTTAAATACTTTCGTTCACTGTCATGTCTGTTTTATACCATTTCAAACTTGAACGGACTTCATTCATAACATAACTCCACCTGATTCATTATTATAATTTAGAAATAGGCATTTTTAATGCTTTTGTTTTGTTTCGCCAGCAGATCACAATTAATTCTTCCTCGTTCTAAACGCATGAAATCAAGATCGATAAATTCAGCTACGTATCAAACACATTTTTTTTCATTACTATTTAAAGTTATTTAAAAAATGAACAAAATCTCTTTGCCTATTGAGAAAGCGGTTGGGGGGGGGGTGAATATTAAATGAAAAGACTTTGAAATGTCAAAACAAAGCACACATCTTTGGAGTTCCAGCCAATTGTTGTGTTTTATATTTTGACATCATTACGGTAGTTCGTACTTTGGTTGTGTCTATCTAGCTGAAAATTTTATTGGGGCACAATCTCCGAGCAGAAATCGAAAATCGAACTGGGAATATCGATACCAGCGAGATAAAGACGTGGACGACCTGTTAAATCTATAGCTACTTGAATATGTAAACTTAACAAGATAAAAATCTTCAATGGTAGAGTGAGTTTCGAAAATAAGCATTCTTGTTATGCTGCTTATAATTGTGTGGTTAGATTTTTCACTTTGGTAGGCTTACTTCATATTGAAACAACACATAAAATAGTAGGCCTACTTCATATCCAACGACACATCAAATGGTAGACCTACTTCATATCAAACAATACATTAAATAGTAGGCATACTTTATATCTAACACATCAAATAGTAGTTAGTGAGAGTGAGTTAGCTTCAAGGCTGCCCTGGCATCGGCTAGGAGCTGTTAGACTAGCAGCATCATACCCGCAACCTTTGCACAGATGCCAGGTCATGGGTGCAGCAACGAACACAACCAGAACCAGAACCATGAGTTTACCGCACCGGGTGACACCAACACTAACTACGCCACAGACTGAAATGATTCTTTATTTATGCTTTCTCTTTAAGACTAAGTTAACGTCCTGCACAGTTAGAAGATGCGTTGGTGTAACTATATATTCTATATAACAAAATCTCCTTAATAAATTATAGACCCTTTTCAAACACATGACCCACTTTACATTATATTTACCTCCATAATCCACTTCCATGTAATTACTTTAAAATATATTTTAATACGGTATACGTAAAAGGCAATAATCGCAAACCCTCGGCATATATGATGTGGTCGCCTGGCTCATAAGTGATCTAACTTTGCGTTTTAGCCTGTAATATGGTGACAAATTTCTAGCATTGGTAGAAAAACCTTTAGAATTAAGACCAGTCAGCTAGCCCTCTAATAGAGATTTGTAGAGTCTCACGCACGCATTGGTAATGACTAAAGATATTCTATTGTGCTCCACCCTCAGACATAAGAATAACAAAGACCTTCTAAACAGATGTCGACTATGAGTTTGATCAATTTTTGTGAGGTGATCGTTAGAATTAACATTTAGATTATTATTATTATTTTTTTTTTTTTTTAAAGTGAAGTGGCGACTAAAGTCCTGTCCTGCACGACGTCACATGCCGGAGCAGCAGTCGTAAACATCCTTTCTAACTCCAGGCCTATACCTCCTGCCCTCACTCAATTTCTTTTTAGGGGGGGGGGGGGGGGGATTTAACAATTTAAAGTGAAGTGGCGACTAAAGTCCTGCCCTGCACGACGTCACATGCCGGAGCAGCAGTCGTAAACATCATTTCTAACTCCAGGCCTATACCTCCTGCCCTCACTCAATTTATTTTTAGGGGGGGGGGAGGGGGGATTTAAAAAAAAAATAAACCAAAGTCCGATCCAGAAATAAAATGTTTAATAAACACCAACAACAAAAATGAATCTGCATTAAAACAATGTCAAGCAACAGATAACGTTTGTACACGCCAGAGTTGAACTCCTAGAGGTTTCCATTAGGGAGACGGGGGCTTTCTCTTTACACCGCGTTAGTGTTTAAGTGTGGCCCCTTCTTGAAAGAATAATAAATACAGGACGCTTTGAGTGGGCTACGTAAAAAAAAAAAAAACCAGTAGGTCAGCTTTCAAAATTTCAACAATATTTAATTTAAATTTAATTTAAATCAATTCAGTTTACTTGAGCAGTTATTATTTTTTTTTCTTTCTAAAGCCCCGAGGCCCAATAAGCCCTTATTATTTTATCATAAGCCAATTCAGTTCATGTACAGAACAAAATCCTGTCCTTAATTTACAAACATGATAAATGACGAATGGGAACTATAGGCCTACTTCTCAATACAACTTTCTTCTATATTATATATTACATTATCTTTATTGATTAGCTATCATCCGCCAAACAATGACGGCGGCGATGCATGAACTTCCCATCTGCTAATATCATCACGTGACAAAACATGCATTCAAATAACTCACTAAATGGGACTTCCAATCGGTTCTACCACCCACATCCCCCCCCCCCCAAGATACATCACCGCACACTTTTTTTCACGCCCCTGAACACTATAAATATTCTGTCTTATGTCCCACCCCATTTTACAACGTAGATTTATTACATCATAAGAACTTCCCATCTGCTAATATCATCACGTGACAAAACATGCATTCAAATAACTCCCTAAATGGGACTTCCAATCGGTTCTACCACCCACACCCCCCCCCCCCCCAAGATACATCACCGCACACTTTTTTTCACGCCCCTGAACACTATAAATATTCTGTCTTATGTCCCACCCCATTTTACAACGTAGATTTATTACATCATAATCATATTTAAATTTAGACTATTTCCGTAAAAAAATAAAATAGAAGGCAACAATAAAATTGTAGGCACCGTAACGCCCTTGCGTTATTGTAAAAAAAAAAAACAAAAAAAACCCACACATTTTTTACCGCAGTTATCGGGATTTTTAAAATTTGTTTTTGCACGCTACTGAACTAGCCATAGCCCCATACTTTCTTTCATACGTAGATACTCATATGGGATGATCGTTATCACAGAGGAAAAGAAATGTAAAAAAGACACACACTATATTTCAGGTCTCATAGAAAGCCCATTTGTTCTATAGAGACAAATGATGCCTTATTTATCACAGCTACTGTTACTTGTGTTACAAATGACCCGCCAATATAAGTCAATAAATAACACATCAATACTATAACAAAACACCATTATATAATTAACAAAGCACGTCAATATAATACAAAACTTTTATATAACACACCACAATCTAACACAAGACACCAGTATATCACAACAACATTATATAACACACCATTTGGGTACCAGAGTTAGATTAGTAAAACAGCTGCCCAATCAGAGGTACTAACCCTCCATAATATAAATACCCCATCACCACCATGTAACATAACACCTCTATGTAACATAACACTATTGTGTATACATCACCACCATGTAACACAACCCCACCATGTAATGTAAAACATCCCCACTGTGTAACACATCACCCGCATCTAACAACACCACTCTGTAACACATCACCACCATTGTAACATAACATCACTATGTAACTGTAACACATCAACACCATGTAACATAACCCCACTATGTAAAACATCCCCACTGTGTAACACATCACCACCATGTAACACATCCCGCTGTGTAACACATTACCACCATGTAACATAACACCACTATGTAAAAAATCACCACCATGTAACATAACACCACTATGTAAAACATCACCACCATGTAACACATCACCACTATGTAACATAACACCACTATGTAAAAAATCACCACCATATAACATAACACCACCATGTAACACATCACCACCATGTAACACATCACCACCATGTAACACATCACCATCATGTAACATAACACCACCATGTAACACATCACCACCATGTAACACATCACCATCATGTAACATAACACCACCATGTAACACTTCACCACCGTGTAACATAACACCACCATGTAACACATCACCACTATGTAACACAACATGATAATACAAAAACAACATTCTCCAAATTTATAGAAAAGCAGCTATAAGAAAAAGACTTCAAAACAAGACAACCTTTTAATTCATTTTTAAATAATTTAGAGACATCAACATTCATTTTGTATTTTTTCATTTTGAAACAATGAAAATCTAATTGGGACACACACATATAAAAATTCAACAATCTCTGAATAACTCTAAGCTTTAACTCAATTGGAAAAAGATCATCATATAATTTTTTTTTAAAAGCTGGAAGCTTCCATTTATTTAACAAAATGAGACTAGTTTTTTTGGTGAGTTTGGGAAACTTAAACAGAGCACAAATTTCATAATTTTGTGTGTAACAACGTCAACTTTATACTATATTTTTTAAATTTAATTGAGTCCACAAGCTATACATTTGTATTGGGTTGCAATCTGTTAGTTATTACATTTTAATGAAGGTTAAATTTATAATCCACAACAAAGAAAAAGAAGTTTTATTTGCAAGAAAAAAGTAACGAGATTTCTTCTTAAAATGTATTTTATTTTAAGGTTTAAAACATGTAACTATTTCTTTAACATCATGGACCAACTTTATCCAATATATTATGGAATCAAGTTCCAGTATGTATTGAAGTAAGTCCCCAAAACGCTTACAACTACCATACATTATCTATCTGTCACCTGCAAAACAAATGAGCAAACAAATCAAGTTAAAAAAATTAATCTGATCCTTTTTTTTTCGTAAACATACAAGTGATGCTATCATAATGGATTCGAGCAATGTTCTGCCAATGAGGTAACCTGATGCTGTTGACTACCCGAAGTCAAGTAATACAGTTATAATTCCTAGAAAATAAATTAAATTAAAACACACAAATCTTATCATTTTAATGGTTTGTCCAGATCCAAAGAAATAAACAAAATGTCATTGACAAAACAGTTTCTAAAAACTTATGGTCAATATAAAAATCCAGCCAGAAACATCATAACTGGTCAAACATTAACACTGTTTAAGTTACACAAAATAACACTTTCAAAGTTTCAAACTTCAAATTGGTACATTTTAACCAATAACTTAAATTGATGAGAACTTTTAGAGGGTGACTTTTTTATATAGGTATATGATTCTGGTGTTTTGCTTTTTTTAAATTACGTAAACACAACACAATCTTAGCATGTCTTTTTTTTTAAACATGCAGGTTCATGACAATATCCAGTGAAATAGTCCAAAGGAAGTTCATAACTTTATCAATTTTTATCAACGTATTGTGCAAAGAAATCAATCATTTGCACAATAAAATAAAATAAATAAATAAACTGAGGATTTAAATGAGCATCCATCGCAGTCCATAATCATTAAAAAAAATATATATATACATATTATATATATATAGGTGGAGACGAAATAGAAGTTATTGTTCTAGTGTCAAAGCTGCAATGACTAACAAGTTCTATTCATTCCATCTGTGAAATATTAGTTAACCACTAGAAAATTTCAAAAGTAGATAAATATCAAGTGTAAGACATTGTATATTTACAGAGAGAAAGTTACAGAATATCACCAAAGCTGTTCTTGAAGAAAAACAAAAAAATGAGTTAAACTGATGACTAGTTATTTCGGTTGTGGTATTACATGCTTGAATGCTAACTGGGCCATCCTCTTTGAGAACTCTGTCATTGCTGATACATGGTAGAAAAACTCATTGTCATTGGCATCATCTACACAAAATTAAAAAAAAAAAAAACCAGATAGAAAATTGAAAGTTGTCACCAAGGTTTATTTCTAACAATTTTTGTCAAAATGTATTGGTCCAAATTTCTAATAAAATTCTGATTCACTGATTTAGCAGATTTTTGAAATACCCTAATGCAGCGTGTTATGTATTCAATGTAGAATGTTTTAGGACTTGTTTTTGTATTGACAACACCACACATTAAAAGATTAGCTATATCTCAAAGATAAGAACTTTGTAGATGGTTGTAACTCGACAGTTAAAAGCTTTAACATTTGATGAACATTTGAGCAGAACTTGCCTGAATCTGTGAATTCATGGGTGTCAAAGATGAGCTCTTTGAATGTGTCATAGATTCTGTGGAGCAGCTGTAGTTTTTCACTAGGATTTTCTATGACTTCAATGAGACAATCCAGTACTGTCATCACTTGGGATAGGTTGTAATTGTGTTTAACAGATACCTGTTGATTGCAACCTAAAAGTTGTTTGCTATTGACAAACCATCATGCAGCATAGTTGAAAATCTATTACATCTTAAGGGTCTGACAAACATCCTATTATTTGAAATTTTAAAGATGTCGCAAAATGTTTAGATTTCATATTTTGTAGACAGTCATTCATTAATACTTTATCACAGGCCTGCACAACATATGGGTGCACACGGCCCGCCAGCACCCACTTGGTGGCTCGCAAAGTAACGAACTATGCTTTATTATTATTATTTTCTTAATAGTTTCCCCCCCCCTGTTCTATTAACTTTCGATCTGCACAAGTTTTTCATAAAATATTACAACCCACACAAGTTTCATAAAATATTACAACAAGCACAAGTTTTTCATAAAGTATTATGGCCTGCCTTACATTTTGAGTTGTGCAGGCCTGCTTTATGATATATGTTTGTTTATCAGACCCTAAAAATGTATAGATATTTTCCATCTTTGCACTTCATATATTATGTATTACTTTTATACTTCTAATTCAAATAATATAATTCCCAGTGCATGTCTAAATTTCTGAAACTAAACCTAACAACGTTGCATTTTGAAACATTGCAATAGCGTCCCATGTAAGCTTTCCTTTCCCCCCCCCCCTCTTAAGGGGTGAGTTTCTTTTTCAGTCCGTAGGGTTTTGATGATTAGCTGAAATCTAAAATATTCTACTCATGAACACAGACATGATTTATTATGGGTATCAGTAAACAAAATTATAATAAAATTGTTCAAGTACTGATTTTGAGCATCCACTGGATAATGGAGTTTCAAAAGGCAGCAGAACATGGAACATGTGGGATTGACACATTTTGGTAGCAAATTATTACAATTTTACTGCATAGGGCTGTACTTCAGTTTTAAAGTAATAGAACAACACTTGCTCTACTCTAGTGACAGTCACAGAGTGTCACAGAGTTAATTAAAGTCACCGAGTTAGAGTAATGGCATTCAAAAAAAAAAAGGTAGGAATAATTTTTTTTTTTTAAATGTCCAATTACACACAGGAAATTATCAAGATTAATGATAATTTGGGATTTCAAATAATCTCTCTATATTTATTTTTAGAAACCAAACAAACAAGAAACTAAGTTGTAAAGATGAAGAACACTTAGAATATACAATCTTATGGACAATACAGAATAATTATAGCATCAATCCTATGGGCAATGTAGAATACTTAGAACATACAATCCTATGGACAATATAGAATACTCAGAACATACAATCCTATGAACAATGTGGAAAACTCACAACATACAATCCTGTGGACAAAGAAGAATACTTATAACATACAATCCTATGGGCAATGTAGAATACTTAGAACATAAATCCTTTGGGCAATGTAGAATACTTAAGACAAGCACTCCTGTTTACAGTGTGAAATAGCCCCACTTAAAGCTTTCAAAGCTATTGAAAGTTTAGAATACTTACAAGACACAAGGAGGTTAAAATACTGGCAACCTCAGCAAAGCGGCCATGTAACACTTTACTGACCAACATTTTGGTGGTTATGCACTCCCCACAGGCAAGTAGCAGACCTGCAATATTTTCAACCAACCAGTCCTCTGGTGTGTCTGTGAATTGAATGGTGTTTGTTGGCAAGTTATTTGGTAGCATTCATTGGAGTTGTATGCCAACCTTCTAGCATTGATGAAAATTAGACAGACTTAATTTTTTTTTCTTTCGATGAGCCTTCATTAAATGTGTATCAGTTGAATATAGCTCACCCAAAAATATAGTATATTATTTTATCTCTCAATTCATATTTCAAATTTTTAAAATATTGTGAAACCCTTCCAAAATAAGCCAGATTTGTGAATAATGAATTTTTGTGAATGAACTGAAATTTTTAATTCGTTTCCCAATTGTAGATGTCAATAACATGTGTTAATTGACCAATTCATCAACACAATGGGTGGTATTTAGCAAATGTGTAGTCTTCAAGACAATTAAGTAAAAACAAATTAAATGGACATAGTTTTGAACTGACACATTTGAGCAAGATAATAATCATGTATTCACAAATTTCAGACATATAATAATATATAGGTCTATGCAGCTTACTTGTGATCTCATCAATTATTTCTATGACATTATCATTCTTCCACTCTGTGTTGGGGAGGTGCAATAGCTGAAGAATACTAGACAGGCTTCCAAAAAATATAGATGAGTGTTCATTGTCCATTGGAGTGGACTCACTCATTTCATGCCACTGTATTTCACCTCCTGGGGAAAATGTTTATTTAGTAGAGGGTTGATGAGGAATAGCAGTTATTGACCACAGCAAGACAAATTATTTCTAAAATGGGTATACACATATGAAGGATAATTATTCCTTAGAATCAATAAATGGCAATAATGAAAATTTAATAAAAGCATTCAAATACAATGCTGGATTAAATTATTTCATAATTCAAACTCTAAAAAATAAAAAGAAATAACTACAGTACATAGCAAAAAAAAAATGAGGGAAAAAAAAAAAGTAAACCATATTAGCAGGTTGATTTAGAAAAAAAAGAAATGTATAAATTTAACAACCAACCACTTTTGAACCTACCAGAAAAGTGCCCAGTGTATAAAATATACAATAATCTTGCCTGGGACACAACACTGAAGGGTTCTAGTATACAGCTAATCCAAAAGATTCTCTCAGGTACAGTTAGGGATGGATCCAAAAAGATGCGCCGAAAAAATATGCGGACAGTTCCTTCAAAGAAGCTAAGAGTACCTGAAAAATGAAACATATAATAATTCTACCAAAATATATTTCATATTTATGACTTAAATTCTTGATGTTCAGCTTTAAATTCAAAATTACAGATTAAAATATATTTTACGGTATATACTCAAGTACAGGTCGCACACTTTTTACCAAACATTTTTATAAAAATCAAGGGTGCAACCTATCCCCTTGATATCACTTACTGTTAGTAGTGGGGGGTAGTGATTTATTTTTAAAAAGTCAGAGAGTCATTTTCTTGCTCATGCAACAAACAGTTGTTTTTTTTTAATGTTTTATGAAAGGTTATTTGGTTATCTACCTACAAATTAAGAGATATTTATAATGTTTTCATTCAGTGTAGGCCTAATGTAATAATAATGCTCATAATAACAAGCAACATAACTTTTTTTAATGAATTGTGTGGTTCTTGCAGAATTTTATTTTTAGTGTAGGCTGTCCTAAGGCAAGTTTGAAAAAAACTGTTCAAATCAAACATGACTTTGGTTATTATTTTTGCCATTTTAAATTTTTTTTTTAATTATCAGACCAAACTGTGGTGATCGCTTAGAAAGTCTCAGAGTTTTAGTCTGCAACTCAGCTTCACATTGCAGTAGACTAACTCAAGAGCTATGAGATGGTAAGTCAATTAAAATGATCATTTTTATGTAAACCATAACTGAAGCTATTTCCTAACATGAATGACAGAGCTGAAGAGCTTGATTCAATTTTGACGTGGTCAAATGGGCTAGCTGGACAATGGGCACCACTCACAGCCATTGCCAGCAGATTAGCACATTCATCCAAACTGCTGGACAAAGAGTATTATGAAAGGGTTTCTCCATTTTCTGAAATTTCTCAATTCTTAAGATTAGTCCATCAGTATCAGATTTTTAAGAATATACTTTTCTCTTCATTTATTCAAAGCAAATAGTTTTATTTATTTGTTTAAACTATCAAGTTGCCAAAAATTTGCTGCATACAAATTTATACCCATATAGAATTTAAAAAATGATTTATTTCTAACTACTATAGAAACTCAAATGTCCATCATCTCAACATTCACTAATTTGGATGTCCTTTAATCATTTTTGAGACCCAGCAATATAAAATCTAAAGCAATGTAAAACTGAACAGCATTAGTCCTAAATAATATACACAAAAGCATCATTTCGACTGAATTTTGAGTCCTATCAAAGATAGGGCATTGCAAGACCAGGACAAAACAGTTTGATGTTCAGGATCAAAGCCCTTAAAAAAATATGGTCAATAGTGTTAAAAAGACTATTTAAAATTTATTACATCTCATATTATTATTGTCATCCATTAGCTATTTACATACTTGAAATAGATAACTGATTACAGGAACTACACCTGGTCAAATCATTCAAGTTCTACAATATGTTCTTGTGATTAGTCTGACCTACCAGGTTTGCTGTTCACCACTGACTTGACACATTTCAGCATGTTCATGTGATTGGAGATTGCTTCAAAAGCCCTTTTACATTCACTGTCATCCCAGCCTGCAATAACTGTGTGAAGAAACTTGCCAAAACAGAGTAAAGCAATGCATCTGGATGGATCTGTGCACAAGTCAGTATTATAACAATATATCTGTAAGGCAACAAATATATATAAATTAGGCAATGCTTTAGTTATGCGGTAGACTAGTTCACAAATCATTTTAAAAAAATGAATATGACGAATGAAAATCCACAGCATAATAAAGTGTACAATACAGCTAAGCGAACTAAGGTGAATTTTGTAACTGTTTCTTAAAAAAGTAAATTTTATATGTGTTTTCTAAACACAAGTAACAACACATTAAAAATGATCATTCAATGTGCCAGAGTAGTTAAAATGTGAGTTAAGATACGGTTGGGGGGGTGGGGGGGTGGGGGGTGGGTGGAGGGCATACAGTTCAAGTATCAGTCAAGTTCAAGTTTGAAAGAGCTCGCTAAAGAAGGAGACATGCTCTTCCTCAACACAACACATTCCCCTTTACTTTAAGAAGCAAATGCACTGTTATAGACTGGATGACATAAAAGGTTTCCAGCATGCTCCAAGAACCTGCCAACAAACTACAGTGGACAATAAACTTCCGGGCAGCCTCGTGTCTAAGGAAGTTTAATGTAACTATAAATTTGTTAAATGAAGAAGAAGCCCAAGTTATATTCCACAAT